GCAATGGTTTCTATAGCCTGCAAAAGATACTGAGATTGACATGATCTTGGCTCCTTAATTACATCAGAGTGGGATTTTCTACTCCTAATGCTTAAGTGCATGTCAATACCAAGACAGATTGCAATATGCGTATCACTATGCCAAGAAATCACTTTAAAATTATTCAATGTAATCTGTTAATAATTGAGTAACTTCTGGGTAAAGAATTATTAAAAACAACATGAATTCATCACTCTGAAAAAAGAATTAATAAAAAGCAAAAGGTATATAGTCCCAAGATCTAAGCAACCTCACACTGAGAAATAATTAATCTTCTGTATTCTAACTATCTTAAAATGCTTGTATTTTAAAGAATACTGGATTGCTTTCTGAATCACGTTCCTTTCATCTACAATGCTTATTTTGTTTTGCTTTTGAGAACCTCTGTTTTTAATCCAGCCAGTTGTAGCGTTCTCCTTTCCTAGCAAAAATGATATCCTAATATTTAATATACACATTAAAACTGATGTGCATCAGTGTTCCAGACAGGATTCACTAACTGGAGATATATTTGCTACAGGGATAGGAAAAAGCAGGAGGAGGAGAGTGCAGAAATAAGAGAGTTGCTATGCCAACCTAGAAATGCTAATGGCATGACAAATACAAAAAGGTCACAGTAAAAAAAAAAAAAACCAAACAAAACACCAAAAAACCCACCACACCAAAGAAAGGAAGAAAGAAAAGCCCAGATCAAAAAGTGTGTGTGTTTTATTTCATAAACAATGCAGCTACTGTATTTAAATTCCTTCAAAACAATGCAGTTTAAAAAGAAAAATAATTGCAACAGAGTAGCACACTGAAAATCAGGTTGTCTTTGTCCTTCTTTTGATTTAGCTTGTAAATGCCTTGTGTTTTATCATCTATATCATATGGTGTTTTAAGAAGAAGTTACATATGAATGCTGACTGGATTTGCCTGCAAGTAGATCACCTGTCGACTAGGGCCAATATTTCAACACAGAGTAACAAACAAGTATAAAGAAAATTAGTAAAAAAAGTGCATTTGGACTAGTTCTACGCTAATTAGATCGTGCAACAAAAGATATTTTTGTCTTTTTGAGACAGAATTCTGTAACAAACTCAAACTCATATCTTCTACCTAAAATGGTAAAATGATAAATATGAGTTTTTAAGAAATCTTTTAGGAGGACTTTCAGCTGATTTTCAAATATTTGGGTCTGCTTGATAAAAAAAAAAAAAAAATCCCAGCTGTTCTGAATATTCTTTCTATAGTCGTCTAAGGTTTGTTATGGAAGACACTAGTAATGATCCCTATACTCTTAAGTGTAAGAGGAGATGCATGCAGTACAGTCTTTTACATCAAACTCCTGCAACAGAGGTTGTTTATGACAGAATTCAAACCCACCCAAAATACAGAATGGGTTTTCTTTCTCACTTGAAATTTGTTTCCAATCTGGTTGAAATACCAACCATGTGAAATTACTATTTTCTTTGTTTTTCTAGTACTCCAAAGGACAGTACTAACAGCATGCCAATGACTTTTCCTGGGTCAAACTCATGTCTTCACCAAGGCAAAGGCAACAGTACTGGGACGTAGATGGACTACCTGTGGACATTAAAGCATCCTTGGAAAGCCCATGGGAGAAGAGAGGAGGGCTGGGCCACAGCATACACTAAAAGCTCCGAATATATACAGTGTCCTGACCTATTTATCATGAACTTTTTGAGTGGGCAACAGGCAGAATGCAGAGAACAGAAATTTTACAGTATAACCTGAGTTTTCTAGCACAGAATTGCAGATCCAAGATAAAGTTTTACATAAGCTCTGGATGAGCATTCAAAGAGAAATGAGTTGCTCAACCTTTTGAAGTTCACCCATTGCTAATTAAAGAACTGCCAAGGCTTTACTAACAATTAAAAACTTGTCTTTAAAATCCCCAAAGAGGAAAATGCAAACAGCTGTTTTAATTAGCAAAACAGCAGATACTAATTAGCTTTTGTAACAGAGTATGCTGGTCCTTTAAGGACAGGACCAGTTTCAGCCCAAGTTTGTTACCCATTTAAACTACAAGTAGGACTGGAGTCAGATGCTGCCTAAAAAGCTTCTAATTCCTTGTGAAAGCAATATTCCCCAACTTCAAGTACTCAAAAATGAGATTTTTATTTCAAGTAAGCTTTTATGCTTATTCGTCTTCTAGTTTCTGATCTTTCTGGAACTGAGATATGTGCAGACATTTGAGCAGGGACTAAGGGTTATTTGAAAAGTCTTGTCTTGTGATGATCCCACGGAGATGATAACTGTGATACCTTCACGTTCTGGCCAAATGGCCACTGTGTTTGGACAGAGTAATATGTGCATATCTGCACAGCAAACCCATGGAGTTCAGGTTGCACCAAGCCTGCTGTGAAAGCACTGGTCATTTGGACAGCTGATGTAGAGTTGCTCCAACAGAGCACATCTTTCTGTTCTCCCAACCTGTCGGGGGCCGGTTCTGAAGAACTAAGAAAAACTCAGATGAAGGAGGAGGGAGGGGAGAGAACCGAAGAGGCTGGAATTACCGCTTTGCTGTGTTCAGAGCACAGATCCTTGGAATCGACAGATGTGCTTTTACAAGATAATCAATATACATACTGGCATTTCCAACAATCAGTTTTAAGGTTAAAAAAAGATAAGCCACATCCCATAAGAGCTATGCTGCCTGTAACTATGTCTACAGCTAGTCATTTTGACATTAGTGGGGTCAGTTGCCATGGACATGATATCGATAATAAACAGGATATCGCTGCAAGTAGAAGATATAACATAAATGCCGAAAGTGAAATGCAATGCAGGAGTTTAAAAGTCAATTTATTTGTACTATCTACACAGAGTGAAAGAATAACTGAAAATATAGGCATGAAATGATGACCCCATAAATAACTACAAAACTATTATATCAAATAATCTTGATAGCTACCTATGTGTTTGAAACCACCAGTCAAATCTTTCTTCCAAACATCTGGAGGACACTTGTCCTTCAGGAATTGTGTTTGGAAAATCTAAAACTGTTGTGCTGGTATTCCAACACTGTAGGACAGGACAGGTCAATAGCTGTAAATGGAGGACAACAACTGCTGCTCTTTTACCATTCTGTGTGCTCTGCACATGCTACGTTCAGTAAAGACAGTTACTAAGGGCAGGCAGTGAGTAAACACCACCCTTCAAAAATCAAACTGGGATTCTGATTAATGAATGGAATTTTAAATAAACCCAAAAGCATTTACTTGTAAACACAAGGACTATGATGATAAAATACTTTCATAAAATATAGATATACCTATAACTGTACCCCTTTACAAGCAAGACTGTTAATCTTATTGCTTGAGATTTCAGGGAAATATCACAGGATTCAGCTAACCACAAATAAAGCTAGCTACCCAGGAATCCGTATTTCTATTTCTGTTTATGCTTTTCATTACATATTTTACCATCGCAGCTCTGCCGGCTAAATGGTTTCTGAATAATTGTTTTGTCTTTGTATAGTATTTCAACATCTGTTTTTCAAAACCGTATGAGAACATCATATTCTCTT